CGGTCAGCAGCAAAGCTTTAGATTGAGTTGAGCGTACTTTGATACTCCTGAGGAAAATTTTCCAGGACCAGCCTCAATGAAACCCTCTCCCAAATAGAACCATTCAATTAGATAATTATTCCAAAGCAACAAACTTCCTTACTTCTGTCTCCCACATTCTAAATTAAAAGTCTTAATCGACTCCGGTGGCTCTGATACAGTAATTACTCCCAAAGCTGCTCAAAACTTCGATTCGAAGTATGAATTCTATGAACCCTAATTTCGATGAAAACCCCAAAAACATATCCACGGAACCTTTACTACCCTTTGTTCGAAGAAAGTGGTATTTATCAACCCCTTACAATTAGAATCGCCGACTGGCATGACGATTTCGATGTACTTTTAGGTGCAGGTAAACTCGATCAGTTAGGAGCCAATATTGATTACGAAACACACGTATTTTCGATTCCAAAATTGCACATTTTTATTCCATTTAAAATAATTTACCGTAGTGATAGACGACTACGCATTCCAGTCTCCATTAACAATGGCGAAGTTGTCACTCCTGATATTATACACGAAAATCAAGTAATAATTCCAGCATCAATTCATGTAGGTGAAGACGGCTTCTTAGAAATACCACGTCCCAACAATGTCGAAATCAACTTCTCACAACCAATCTCCGCCACATCCATTTCGAATTTCGAAGAAATCACTCCCTCATCTTCTGGTGATAATTCTTTTGATTCTAATTTGTTACGGACAGACCATCTGAATGTGGATGTCTTTTTCATCAATTTAAGGATATTTTTTATACAAAAAATTCTCCTTTAACCGTTACTACTTCTGTAAAACATTAATTCGAACTAAGGATGAAACACCAATCTTAACCCGCTCTTATCGACACTCAAAATCAATGCTACCTGAAATTTCCGATCAAATCCAAAAATTACTACAAAACAATGCCATGTGCTCTTCTATTACAAGTCCCTACTCAGCCCCTATATGGTATGGATCGTTACGAAAGAAACTGACGCAAGCGGTAAAAGTAAAATTCCGTATGGTCATCGACTATAGACGTCTTAACGAAAACACAATCGAAGATAAATACCCTCTTCCCCGCATCGACGAAATTCTTAACATGTTCATACTTTACTACCCTCAATTTGGCTCAGGGTTCGAAGTCCACCCCGATTCTATCGAAAAGACAGCATTCACAGTCCCTAACGGTCATTTCGGGTTACAAAATGCACCAGCCACCTTCGAGCGAATGATGGATGAAATCCTAAGGTAATTCTTATGCAAGTCCTGTTTTGTCTATATGGACGACGAAATCGTATTCTCCAAATCTCTCCACATAAAACAGATTTTCCAAAAATTCCGTGAAGTCAACGTCAAGATTCAGCCAGATAAATCCGAATTCCTAAGTACGTCAGTAGCATTCCTAGGCCACGTCATAACACCTGAAGAACCAAATCCTTCAAAAATTTCAGCCATCCAAAGGTCTCCTATACCCAATACAGTGAAAGAAATCAGAAGCTTTCTTGGTCTCATAGGATACTACCGACGATTCATTCCGAAAGTTACCTATCCCATGACACGCTGCACTAGAAAAGGAACTAAAATCGATATCGAAGATCCCAAATATATTGAATCCCTTGAGAAATGTAAATCCGCTCTTAGTAACTCCCCTATTCCCCCAATGCCCTGATTTTTCTCTACCATTTACCCTCACAACAGGCGCTTCAAACATGGCGATCGGTTCTGTCCTTATGCAGAAAGGAAATCCGATAGCCTATTATTCCCGCACCCTACACTCAGCAGAGGAAAATTAATCTACAATTGAAAAAGAACTTTTTGCTATACTCGATTCCTGTAAAGTATTCCGTCCCTATGTATATGGTGTAAAATTTACTGTGGAGTCAGATCACAACCCCTTAGTTTGGCTATACAAAATTAAAGAACCCAATTCTCGTCTTGTCCGATGGAAACTCAAACTCGAGGAGTACAACTTTGAAATTAACTACAAGAAAGGAAAGGAAAACGTCGTTGCCGATGCTTTAAGTCGCATGAATCCGAGTCCCTGTGTGCCAACCCTCCAAATGATGATGACGACTTTGACGTAGATGATTTTATTAATCAAACTTTCGAAAAAGAAACTGGACAGTCAACCCAACATTCTTCTCATGAAAATCCCGTTGCCCTCGTTCCATTCTCAGAAGAGCCTATTAATCATTTTTCAAATCAAATCATAATAAATCTGGGCACCAATTTTAACACAAAATACCGTCTGAACTTCAAGTCCAATCGTCACTCTTTCCGAAAATGACTAGATAACCGACATCAAGACTGCCCTCCATCGAACAATAGGCCCCAATCAACGGTACTACATTCTGACAGACAATCCTGATATCCAAAAATATATTTACGACTACGTCCGTAATACTTATAATCAAACTATTCAAATATTATGTTGCTCCAAACGAGTTCAAGACGTACAGAAACCCGAAGACCAATTACGAAATGTCCAAAATTATCACAAAGAAAATCACAATGGTATTCACGAAACACTTAGTCATTTAAAATTACATTATTACTGGCCTAATATGCGTTCTACCATTTTAGAACATGCGATATTTGTCTTTGTAATAAATACGAGAGACACCCATATAAATTACCCCTAAAAGGTCCGTTTCTAGGACAAATCCTTTCGATATCCTTCACATTGACACATTTTCCAGTAACCGAGAAAATTTCCTTACAATCATCGACTCTTTTTCTGAATACGCCCAAGTGTGCTGTATACCTGACAAAATGAATACCACAATCCTTAGCAAACTACGTCACTATTTATCCCACCATAATTATCCTCGAAAAATAGTCTGCGACGAAGATACCGAATTTTCGAATAACCTGTTTTGAAGAATTTTTAGATCTCCATAAAATCGAGCTACACTTTACTACAATGAACAACCCAAATTCCAATAGTCCAATCGAAAGATTCCACTCTACTTTCACAGAACGATGAACGCCCTAAAGAATATTTTTCTGATCTCGTTACACATTTTGTCCTTATTCATAATTAGTTCATCCATTCCGCCACAGGTTATTCACCACTTTGTATCCCATATGGCCCATGTGCAGAAGAAATATTATTTGACAATGACTTACCGATTTACGAAAAGTATACCAACGACATAAAGACGAACTCCGTCCTTTCATCGATTCCCTTTTTCGAAATCTCCACGATAAAGAAACAGCAATTTTAAATAGACGCAACCAAAAGCTACCTGAGACCACTCCCCCTCCAGAGCCTGGACAAACCATATATATTCAGAAAATCCCCGAAATAAATTACCTGCACCTTACAACTACTTCCAGTAGCCACACCAAAATTCAAGCCGTTACTTCCAAAAATAACCCTACCAATACCCACCCCAGAAAGATCAAACGTCTAAGGAAAACACTGCTAGGAACTGCTAGGCCATGCTCAAGAGTTAAATCACTATGACCGATATAACATTACTGTTAACTTAACTGCTATCGACGTAACTCTTACAACGACTATAACTAACGTCCTATTCCTTAACCAGACACTCACTACTTCCAACCACAGACTATTTAAACAGTATAACCATCTTTATTTAGAGACACTTCACAGTTTTCATAAAATAATCCGTCCCCGCCAGAAGCGTGGAATTGCTCACTTCTTGGGAACTTTTATTAAATCAGTGACTGGCAACCTTGACGAAAACAATCGTATATTTTTGGAAAAGCATATCTTCAGTATTGAAAATAAACAAAATGATATAGTCAATGTACTAAATAATTCGACATGTTACGCAATAAACAATAAAAAGATATAATGTTTTAATCGAAACTGTAAATAATAATACAGCGAGAATTACACAAGATATCAATTATCTTAGAGACGAATATCAGTAGTTTATTACAATTCAAAGTGAAATTCGTAATATTGATCGTCTGAATCAATTCATCTTGAAGCTAATTAGAAGTATAAACCTATCTGCACTAGAACAACCTAACATAGAATTATTTTCACTTTCCGAAAGCCTTGAAAATCAAAATCATTATATAATCTTCGTATAAATCAAACTGTCGTCTGACAGATAATTCACATCCCTTTGAACTCATCGAAAATTCACGTTGTTCATTAATTACCACTAATACTCAGTTACTTATCCTTTTCAAAATCCCGATCCTTAACGATCACTCTTTCCGACTTTACCATATTTATCCCATACATAATTAAGAAAGCATTATACTACTACCTCCTGCAAGTTTCTATGGAAATAAACGCTGGTATTCCACATGCACCGATGTAGGACCGAAATATCAGTCAAGCAGCAATTGTTGATTCTTCATGCCCATTTGAAATTAATGGACAGATTTACAGCACCACTTCAGAACAAACCGAAGTTCCTGATATCATCCCTGTAAAGATCCGTCCGAAGTTTAGTTTGCAGTTTAACGAGTTGCAGCCACTCAAAGATGTACCACAGCTATCGGCCATACAGCCCTTACATCTAAGCCCTACGGCGACGTCTACAACAACTTGGTCCATGACAATCCTGATGCTCCTCATTATCACAGCGAGCATCTACTTCGTCGTAAGAAAAAGAAGAAGACTTCAGACGCTTTTCTTCAAGCCGAAAATTTCCGTAGCCGACTTGGGAAATCTAAAAATCCAAAAGTCCGAGGACGGATTTTCAACTTAGCGAGGGAGGCGTTATAGGTCAAGAACCCGAGGTGTCAGCAAGACGACACCGCCAGACGCAACGCCAGCAGAACCCTTCATAAAAACTATTTTTCTTTTTATATTCAGGTTCGTTATCATTCCAACTTGTAAAACGTTCATGTCTATCAAATAAATATTTAAAAAAAACCTTGTTGTGGCTAATTCGACGTCAGTGATATATGGATTTCACTGTATATGATGTATTTGTTTAAAATTAGGTTCCTAAGTATTTGCGATATGGTGTTCACTTCGCCTGTGCCTCCCAAACGGGTATAAATGATCCTAAAAACTCCTCACCTTTTTCAGCAATGAAAAAACGCAATGTGCTCATCTAATAGGTACAGATTTTAGAACAGTTGTGGATAGTTGGCTGTGAATTTTCACCAAGAACAGAGATAAAATGAATCTCATACTAAAATTGTTAGTATTATCACTAGTAATAGAAGAAGTTACAATTAGTGCAGCTACTAGTGGTACTGTTTTGTTAACTGAAAGTTTAATAGAAAGTTTACGAGCAGATCCTTATCTTCTAGGTAATTTCTTAGATATACTGGAGTGTTTCGAAATTTGTCAAGTTTATTGAAAAGAAAAGGCTTATCGAAAATACGTTTTATCATTCTCATACTTTATATTAACAGTTGGTTCAGTTGGCTGATCTGTTGTCGGTAGCATAGCGCTTAAAAAATCATTAAACAGTGGTCAATTATTTATTGGCACAAATTTGCTTATTCAGTCGCTAACTGAACCATAACATGCCCTGTATAATTAATATTGCCAATATAACAGTAAATAGTGTCTTAATAAAATATTTTACCACATAAAAGAAAGCGGATCTACCGAATGCAAGGTTAGATTTTGTGTTAAACCGCTGATTAATATAATTGGAGAATACGCAAATCTATGATTAATACTAGCAAACCCGCGTTTGCAATATTTAACTTCTGGTTATTAAATATATCATTAGTGGTAAGTACAGCTGTTGTAACTCAAGTTGTTTGTCTGAAATACAATGCCGGTTCCTGGAAAGTAGATATATTTTGCGACCTGTATTCGCTCAGAGCTTTTTCCTTTGAATCGCGGAATGAGTCATCCTTTTGAATAGTTCAGGTGATTCAAGAACCATTTTGCATAGAAGTAATATTTTTTATCTAAATAACCTTAGCTGATCCGGATTTTTCACCAAATTCGAAGCGATATGTGGATAAGCGCATTGAAAATTACAAGAATCGGGTGAAGAAAACCAGAATCAATGAGTCTTCTAGAAATAGGAGGAGTGTCAATGGGAATGTTTCGAATAAAAAAGATGTTGTTGGTGAGTGTTTAATAAATGACAGAAGATCTATGAACCTCATATACCAAATAAGACGTTGTGGGTCGGGCTTTCGGAGTTGACTACACATGAGTAGAAATTATTAAGAAACTGAGCCTTCACTCTCTGACACGCAAAAAAATAGTTTAATAGACTAGAACCTGATACGTTTTTCACTATCTATGCAATGCAGTAAACTTCATGCATTTTGACGGTATTTATACTTTCAGAACTGACGAAGTATAATGAAATACCAGTTGAAAACTGCTTAGATCTAAGATTGTTTAAGCAAAAAGGATCATGGTATGCTGCATCTGTGGAAAAATATGGAACTATGCTTAAGCTGTACAAACATGAGGTATACTTAGTAATTATTGTTTCATTTGTATTATCAACATTTCTATAGAAGGCTATGGATGTAATACCTGGAACTTATCCTGTAGTTTTCATCTTTACAGGACTCTATGATCTTCTGGTTATGGGGTCCTTTTAAGGTTACCGATCATGATTTTCTTTTAGGGAAACAAGTTTTTGATAATGGATGTAAAACCAGTTGTCAATGCAACAAAGCTTAGTTCCTTACAGATCAACTCATCTACAATAATAGTTGTAGCAGAAAATGGAGAACCAACCAGACAATTTGTGGATCAATCTAGTATATACCAACTGAGAAGTGACATCTTAGAAACCAAACAAAAATTTAATGAAAGCTTTTCGGAAGAAACAACAATTTGGTAAGCAGCAAACTTTTTAAATATTTAAATGAAAAATAAGAGATACTTCTGTTATAGGAAAACTGATCATGATGTTTTCATGACTTTTGTGAAGAACTCCGATCGTACAAAAATTAACTCAGTATATAAATGGATGGGAAACCATTTTGATGTATATCAAAACTTAGAAGCAACTGAAATTTCAAAAGTATCAGCTTTCAGCTTCGACCATTCTCATTTTCTGGCATTAGCAGGGAGTAAAAGAATAGGTACATCTTTGTTTAAGGATTTACTAATTATGAAATTTACCAATATTAATTTTGCGTGATTAAAACTAGTCAATGGAAGAGATTAGCATAACGCAACGTACGTACTTCAAATCCGATATTTCACCGGAATTGCGTTAACAGCGGCGTGCGGTGCGTTATGCTACTCTATCGTATTTTGTTATTTAACTATAGAATAGCAACAAAAAGGAAAACCACTCACAATGAATAGCTTCATAAGCGGATTTTGCTGAGCTAATGATTAATTTGTTCAAAACCTTCCTTGCTTACCCAATACTTTGTAACTTAAACCCCCTGTGAGGGGATCTATTTCTGACAATCAGCGTGGGTTTATGTCTGGGAGGTCAACAGTCACAAACTTGACTTGTTTAATGCAAGGCATTTCTGAGGTTTTGAATGATCAAGGTTAATTGGATAACATATACACTGATCCAAAAGACCTTTGTTCAAATAGTAAAAAATACCTGTCATTAGCTAAGCTCAAATCTGCTGGATTGTCAAGATCCTTTACTGCTTCTCATAAAGTCCTGGAAAGGAGCAGGTACATGGAATATGGCGGCTATCAATCCAAAATTTATACCAGTGGCGTATTTAGAGGGGGCGCCCCCCCCCTGACACATCGTCGCCACAGAGGCATACTAACTATAAGTTATAGCTATAGGAACTGAACATTGCGATTTTTCGGCATCCTTTAGTATTCCAAACGCTGTCCCTTTTCGACATTACTTACGATTACAGCACAATTTTTACGATTTATACGTATATTTGAGTATTGTGACAAATCTAAGTCTGAGCAATATATTAGCTATACAAATATGTTCTGTTTGTTGCTCAATAATAATTTGAAAAGTGTGTAAAGCTGGACTGATTTTGTTCGGAGTTGGTGTTGCAGCGAAGCACTATGATATATGAATGCCATATTCAGATAATTTGATGGCCCTATTTCATATAATATCGTGTCTATAAGTCATTCTGCAAAAATGTGTTCATAATCGTGATTGCTGATGCGAAGTAAATGTTCGTAACTAGTTACGTAAATGTAACTTCTGAACTTATGCCCCGGTTGTCTCTCTGGTCTATCTATTGTATCTTACACTGGCCAATAAATGAAACCTACGATGGTGAATAAACTGATTTCCGGACGTTTAGGCTGCTTTGGCAAATTAAAAATATTTACTCCTCCATCTTAAAGCTGTTTTACTTCGCACGCTAGTGGTGCGAAAAATTCGAAAATGAGATGTTATGCTTTTTAGGTCGAATATGGCATTATTACGAAAACTATATCACTCATGTCCGCCCGTCTGTTTGCTAATCCTTTGCCCGTCTATAACTTGGCAATTAGGTACCGCTCTGATTTTTATGAAATTTCCACACAAGGTTACCACTATGCCAAAGCTTTGTAGTTTCAGTCTAGTGGCGGCGGCGCTATTGGCAAAAAACGAAAAGAATAACAATTGCTAACAATCTATTTCTTACGTTTCAGGGGTTCTTAATCATTGTCAGAAAAAATTATAGTGCTTAAAAAGTGGGGGTTAGATGAAACTGATATTAAATGTAGCATCTTTGATATGTGGAACACGTTCTATTATTAAGAAGCTTCTGATCCCAGAAATTACAGGAAATTTAAGTGACGAAAATCCGACGAATAATGTACTCACGATTTGAAAAAAATCGGAACCTGCGTTATAGGTTTGACAATGGCGGATTTAGAGGGGGGCGCGCGCGTCCCCCCCCCCCCCCTAGACGTCTGACACTTGCTTTTGTAATCTAACACCATTGTGTTGCTTTTTGAAACATCATGGCGACAGATTCGTACTAACTATAAGTTATAGCTATAGGAACTGAGCATTGCGACTTTTGGTATCCTTTGTCCTTTTCGACATCACTTACGTTTACAGCACAATTCTTACGATTTATACGTATATACGAGTACGGTGACTTGTGACAAATCTAAGTCTAAGCAATACATTCGCTATACAGATTGCATTTAAAAAGTGATTTATGTTCTGTTTGTTGCTCAATAGTAATTTGAAAAGTGTATAAAGCTTGACTGATTTTGTTCGGGGTTGGTGTTACAACGAAGCACTATTAGTCTAATCATATTAGAGAAAATACCCCTGCTTTGCGAAATAATTGCAAAGTCTGGTTTTATTGCTGCAAGTTGTTCAAGAGGATATTCAAAACATGGACGCATACAATGGATACACCAATTTTTGTGGGAAAACTTTTTACTCGACAAGAAAGAATGAGAAATCCTGTTTTTTGGGATCAATCGAAAGTATTGGCAGGAACGAAAAATCTCTTCATATAAGACTTTTAGGTATTTATGAGACCTACAAAATGACACACGTAAAAAGATCCGGCTAGTAATAGAAAAGTTATGGCCGAAAACCGAGGCAAACTGCAGATTTTGGCACTTGTTGGTAATGCGACGATGGTTTCTCGCAGATATTCGAGATTCTTCAAATTCGTAGGATCCGTACTTCTGAAATAACCACAACAAGATTGGAGAAGATTGGTCAAGTAGTTTTTAAGAATTTGTAATTGTTTATCCCTAAACACCTGCTTTCGGCCATCACTACTAGTTTATTGAGAAAATACAGGGTTAGTTCAAAGGGCATTTTATAGCAAAATACATTAGTTTACCATGTCGATATGAATCGCAAACCATTCCGGAAGATAAATGTTATTTTTATGCAAAAAGGGATGGGTTACGTTTTTTCTTCTAAACAAATTCAAACATCTCGTATTTGTGAGTAATTCTCAACAAAAGATGATACACACATCCGCTTTGTTTTAAAATGTGTATAGTAACGTATGTATTTCGAATAGTGTAGCGCATTTGCTCAATTACTCACAAATGCGACATGTTTGAATTTGCTTAGAAGAGAAAAACGTAACCTTTGTTTTTCGCATAAAAATAACATGTATCTTTCGGAGTGGTTTGAGATTCATATCGGCAAGGTAAACACGTGTATTTTTCTATTAAATGCTCTTTGAACGAACCCTGTATATTGCTCAATAAACTAGTAGTGATGGCTGGAAAACAGGTGTTTTGTGATAAACAATTAGAAATTCTCAAAAAAACCTCTTGACCAATATACTCCAATTTCTTTGCTGTTATTTAGAAGTATGAATCGTATGGATTTGAGGAATTTCAACTAGTTGCGTGAAACTATCGTCGCAATACCAGCAAGTGCCAAAACCTGCATTCTGCCTCGTTTTTCGGCCATAACATTTTTACTATTAGCCGAATCTTTTTACGGGTGGTCTCATTTTGTAGGTCTCATAAATACCTGAAAATCTTATATGGGAAGTTTTTTCGTTCCTGTCAGACTTTCGATTGAATCCCAAAAAACACGTTTTCTCATTCTTTGTTGTCAAATAAAATGTTTTCCCCACAAAAATTGTTGTACCCATGTTATGCGTCCATGTTTAAAATACCCCCTTGAACAACTTGCATCAATAAAACCGGACTTTACAATTATTTCGGGGAAATGTGCTAATATGATTGGAGTGTATGTTAGATGAACGTCTAAATTGGAAATAGACTTTTATGAGATTTGTTTAGCGGTGCGCCTGTGGCCTGCCCAGAAAATACGTCGATCGATGATCCCGCGTATGTTTCTATTTATGTTGCTATATTGAATTCGCTTAAATCACAGAGCTTCTGCACTACACGTGAACATGTATAGCCCTGTATTCCTGTACTTGTTTCGTACAAACTTACATTATCAAAATAATTACGAACTAACAGATATAGTTCTTTCCAAAGACACAGATACAATAGTAGACCCCGTTGCGCAGTTTTTCTATAGGCAGTCTGGAGACGGTCTCAAGACACGATCTCTAGATGGTCTATAGAGATCCTTCTTTGTCTGTTCTAGCGTCCATACAATAATGTGAACTTTTTGGTCTCATGTTCGTTTTCGCCATTGTTTTGTGTGGAATGCACTGGGATATGTCTCGGTGTCCCTCAGAATGTTTTTTTTTTGGGTAACAGAGCAATGAAGTTTTTGAGGTTTTAATCTTTTGTTCTCATATAATAAAATATTGCATTTCTGAGGATTACTGACCATTTTCCATGTTTTTTTTTTCAAGCTGGCATTGACCAGATAGAACACAATGAACTTAAGGAGCGTTAATAGGATAGAAGCTCCACCGAGGTTGAAAAATTACCAGCCCCAAATATCGTTTGCCCCCCCCCCTCTTTAGACGAAATCCTAAATCCGCCCTTGACTTATACTGCAAGATTTGGTGTACTCAGATGTTCAACAGAAACAGATCCACGGCTTCCTAGGCGTTCCCACCACCACCCCGTTATAGGTACATAACTCCTACAAGCTGACCGCGGTAATTTTAGCAACACCGGCCACCCAGCAACAAGCGGCCGCGCCGCGTTGGACATCCATCGACTGTCACAACAGCAAGGAAGCCGGTGCAGCGTAAAGCAGTGCTATATACATTGCGTGTTGTCATTGTTATCACATTATCAATTACATTCCGTGGCCGGGGCATATTGAGCCTACCAGGAGGATCGAAAGTTATATATACGAAACGCACATGCAAATATCAGAATCCGAGTTCTCAATTTTTCTATAAATCAACACCAGTTTTTTTCACTAAAATCAATGGAACAATGATGTATCCTTCATATCCGGGATCGATTACATTCCGTGGCCGGGGCACACTAAGAATACCAGGGGGAGCCAAAAATACCTATACGAAACGCACATGCAAATTTCATAATTCAATTTCTCAATTTTTCTTCAAATCAACACCACTTTTTTTCACGAATATCAATGCTAATATGTATCCTTTATATCCGGGATCGATTACGTTTCGTGACCGGAGCATATTAAGCCTACCAGGGGAGACGAAAGATACCTATACGAAACACATGCAAATTTCGGAGTTATATTTCTCAATTTTTCTTCAATGCTTCAATGTACCCTTCATATCCGGGGAAGATTACATTCCGT